GCTTATCCGATTCTTTCAGCAGGCCAAAACTGGGCCTCAACTCCTAGCCTCCACCTCTCTTAAACCCAACCTTATCTCCACTTCATGTTGAAACCATGCCCTACTCTAGCATTTTAAAACCCAAATCCCATCTAACCCAACCTACACTTCCATTCAAAGCCCAACTCAAGAGTCATTTCCCACTACAAGCAACTCTACACCTCCACCTTCCAGAATCCACATAAAGCCAACTTAACCTATCCTACTAAACCTAGGGTAAATTTCCTTACTCTTTTCTGTTACATTTTCTTATACTAATTATTGGTGATTATTAATTCTAGTAATGTTCTAATAATCATGTTAGTTTAAATGGCTAGTTATTCATGTTATTATTAGTAGCTATTAAATTTAAATGTATATATATATATGAGAGTGAGAGAGAGAGAAAGTTTCAAAAAAAGAGATGATTTCAAAAATAAAAAGAAAGAAAGAACTAAAAAAAAGAAGTGTTGTCACAATTTTTGTACCCTAGCTCCACCTACCGGTTGCCAAGGTATAACCCCTCTAAACTCTAAAACTCCGAGAACCCGCCTTCGACGCTTACAACGCGACAAAAACGACCACCTATACACGCTTTTCTTAGTGTGGTGGGAGGAAGTTTGTCGCGGTGCTCTTGAGGAATCGGGTGATCACCTAAAATCTCTTCTTCGGCATTCGTGGCGCACTGAAAAACTGCCTATACACACTTTTCTTAACATGGTGGGATGGGAACCTGGTGCGATGCGTACGACGAAGTGGGGATACCCATAAGTACCCGCTTTCGGGGAAATAACTGTCTTTTCCAATATTTGTTGTAGAAGACCCATACACGTTTTTGTTAGCGTGGTGGGGGATGAAGAAAGTATGGCTGCGGTGTCCGAGAACACCTATCATACATGCTTTTCTTAGATTGTGAGAAGGCCCCGTTTCCTGTAGTTTCCCCTAAATGTGGGAGACGCCGGGAAACTGTCGAAATTCCGATTGGAAATGTAAAGGACTTGGACTGAAACTTGTACTTGGACTTGAACCTGAACAAAATGCAAAATGACATAAAATTTAAATGATTAATATAAATTTGGATTTAACTCAAATATTTCGAACTTGAACTTAATTGAAGAAATAAGGAATCTAATATTATTGAATGAATGCAAAACTTAAATCATACTTGATTAAAAAGAGCTTGAACTGAACGAGCCTACATGAACTTGTCTTGAATAATCAATAGTGAACCTGACTTGAACTTGAACTTGCAAAGACTGCAGGGGACTTGAGTTTGGGCAACTGTACAATGAACTCAAAAGGATGATAGAGAATTGAATATTAAACCTAAAGTTTGTAATCATGCAAATGATGACTCAAAGAATTTGAATGCATCATGAAGCATCTAACTTGAATGGATTATAAGAAACAAGCTCAAGATATCATGTGATGAGCCGGTGTTTAGTTTAATATGTATTCAAATGGACATCAATAGGTGAGCTATAAGGAATTCGATTTGAAGAACAATCAATGTTCTAATGAAATCATCATTTCAATTGAAATGCAAGTCCTAATTAAGAAAGGTTTGATTCATGCAAATCTCATGCAAGCAAGCAATGATTCATGATGATAGAAGTCCACATATCATCCATAAGCAACATTGTAAGGAATGCAATGTATTTACAAACAACATTAGATGAGTTGTAATGAATAGAAAAATTCTTGTGGTAGTAGAAGATTCATCAAAAGTAATTGAGTCACCATCAATGCTTGCCAAGCCATAATACTTCCATGAGTAATAACAAGTGGTGTTCCAATCAACATACTTACAATCAAAATACGATGTTTTGAATAAATGACGGAGTGTTATTATGCCACTCAAAATGCAAAGGTCAACAAACAACAATCATCTGTAAATGATGGACAACTACAAGCAATGAATGAGGTGATACATTCATGAATGACACGTATGGGAAAGATGTGCAATAAATATGTCACTATGCCGTCAACGTTGGTATACAACCAGGTGTATAAAATCTTGCAAGAGATGAATGGTGGAGATTATGGAGAATAGGGAAGTTCATATGAGAAAAAATAGTTGGAAGCATTCTCCAATGAATGCCAAAGCTAACATGAGCACTAATGATAATAAGCAAGGGTGTTAAAGTTGTTGTGTGTACTATAAGTGACCTTCAAGGATAGGGGAACTTCAAGAACACACAATGACATATCCACGAGTGCTGCAGTGATACGATCATAGCTAAAGTCTGAAGACCTGATATCTCTACAAAGTATGAAGAATACAGAATTTAATGATAATCATGATTGTTCAAGCAAAGATCGATTTAAAGACTTATGGCTCTCTCACAAGCAACAAATGAGTTCCATAAACATTGAAAGGAAGCATACAATGAACATAGTAGGTTGTTGACAAATGTATGTGAGAAAATTAGTGATGTTGTAGTCATTCCGAGAGTCAACAACAAGCTGCAAATACACACATCAATCTCTTATAGATTATTGAGATCTTCGTGAAACGAGTTCAACGAATATTAGCAAACACAAATGGGAGAAATGTAGTGAACAAAACTCACCCATGGATTTATCATGCAAGTAGATGTATCTATCTCCATCAAGAAGAAGAATCATATATGTAATGAACACAATAACTTTCTTGCAAACAGAGATCAAATTGAAGGATAACAAGTGCTTACAATCAATCAATAACATAGAATTCTCAAGAAATTTTGAAGATCTTCAAGTTAATCAAAATGCGATGGGGTGTGGAGGGCATTTAGCAAATGAAACAATCACTTTACAACACTCTAGCAATCCACATCAATATACAAACAAGCATACTGATCTGCATGCAAGCAATGATAGAAGATCTGCAATACATACAACCTCTCTATGAATATAGACGTATGTACTAGATGCCATTTGTGGGTAGATACATAAAGACTTCAGTAAATGTAGTATCATGTAGTCAACTTTAGTCTGTGAAAGCATACATCTACCTGCATACCAGTAGCAATGGCGGATGTACTACATGGGCCAAAGACCACAACAAAATACATAAAGAATGCGACAAATGCAAGTTCTTACAAGCTTCTGTAGGCAACCCACTATATATATAACATGCAATCTACAAGAAGAATGCATGGGAACTACAATAGATAGAAATACCTACTGGTGAAAAGCAGGAGATTCGTTAGTGCACTATAATCCATTTGCAGAAAATAATAAATAGTGCACGATAGTCTACCTGTATACAACGGGCAGATAACCAGTACAATGCCACGCCACCGGATCCGCAACATTCATGCAAGAGGACAGAAGGTATTCACACCCGCACATACACTATAATTTGTATACACATGTATACAAAAGGGGTAAATACAATCATAAAACCTGCATGGGCCCCGGCGAGCGTGTTTTAAATACACATGTGACATCTAAAGATGTTGTGCGGGTCAATAAATGAACATAAGTTCGAGCCCAATCCTTCTATGAAGATAGATAGAAGTTAACATGGCTTAAACCATTAAATAAATATGCATTCGCAAGGTTGACCAGGATTTTTATTTCATACATTCATATTAGGCCTCCAAGGCCTTAAACAAACAAAATTCATTAATAAAAGTATAAAGCCTACGAAACTCAATCCCCTATCGGCAAGTTGATAGGGTCGATAAGTTTTAGTCAATGAATAACCCCAAACACCTTGATGATGATCGTGTTGAATGTAAATCTCAACAGGAGGGTTTAATTTCAAATATTTCAAATTTCATCCAAAAATCCAAAAAATTTCAAAAATCCCAAAAATTTAAAAATTTAAAATCCTTCCATCAATCACTTAAAAGTAAAATACATCCAACATCCACAATAGTTTACCGAGGTGGACAAATTGAAATTTACTTCAGCTCATAAAGAGCTAATGTCTAGTCAAAAATATCACTAGAATCTATTCTCAAACAATCTCCTATCAGTAAGGACGTTGTATGTGTCCTCTAACTAGTGGTTTTGCTGCCAAATGGCACCGCAGGATAAATGGTTATGACCGGGGTCCCTCTAAACCGAGTGGTTTTGCCACCAAATGGCACCACGAAATACCGGTTATGGCAGAGCCAATACAAACTTATTGGCATCAAATCCTTGAGATATGAATAAATAGGATATAATCGATAGGGCACAAAGCCCTCTGTTAGCTAAGGTGGGTTCAAATTTGTCCCCATAAATAAATATTCACCCCAGGTCTAAAAGGTCCCCTTGGACAAAGCAACCCATGGCTGCCGATAAGGATCCTTCTGTCAGGTTGGGTCGACAACCTCTTCTGGCTAAGTAAACTAGGGACTACGATGGCACAGGATGACGAAACCATGGGATCTTGATGGGGTCTATCATCCATTCCCCCACCATTCGCTTTAAGTGCAAGATGGTGAAATTTATGTTTTAAATATTAATCCTTCCAAATACCATGCTCATACTGCTACTATATGCCTGATACTACATATCTATGGATACAATGTATCTAATTGACGACTAGCCTTAATCGAAAGTTCTCTCTTGTGATCTGGAGGGGTAATTAACTATAGGGGCTTGCGCCTATAGGAAATTAGAACTCAGATCATAAAGTTCTTGCAAAATGAGGGTGAAATATCTGGGTAGTGTCTTATCTACCGTCAACGAAAGCAAGTGCTTCAACGCCGACATTCTCGCCAGCTTCAAAAATGTTTTAAAGCATCCTATGGCAACATAGTATGATGGAAACATCCAATAGTGCAAATGCATTTTGAATTTTTTATTTTTCACCGTTTTTGAAAAGCATAAGTATACTGCAAGATAACATTATTCTATTTTTTGTCTTTGATTTTATCACTCAATGATAATTAGTTTCAGTTTTTTTCTAACATCAGTTATTTAACATTGATGTTCAGCAACAACAAAGATGTAACAAACAAAAACAATAATATCTTCAATAACTAATTTGAAAAAAAATTCACCTGATTTCACCCTTTTCTCTTTCATCTTTATAAATACTTCCCTTGCTTCTCCCATACACCCAGCCTTTGCAAGATTGTCCATTAATAAACAGTACGGCATCTACAAGGTACGGAAAAGAAAACCAAGGTAAAAGGCAAGAATAGGTAGAAATGAAACTTTGTATACATGAAGAAGGAAATTAGAAAGCTTGATATGATTTCTGAAATATGATAATATAACAAAAAATATTAATTAAGTACTTCAATATTACAAATCTTTTAACTGCAAGATAAAAATTCAAGTGCCAAATTGTCAAGAAAAAAAAACCATAAATTAAAGGAAAAAGGAAGAAGAGTTTGTGAAGGCCAGGCTAAAATGAAAGGATAATTCTGCAAAAGAAAATTAGCCATTAGATTATGACAAACATTTCCTGGCATTCAGATTAAAACACCCAACCCACCAGTAGAGCTCTCCCGTTTCAGTACTATACTACTACCAACATAAATGCATCGATGGAAATCACAATTTTGCATACAAAAATGCTATAATTAAGTACAAACATTGCACTACATGATGGTGAAATACAGCTAGGTAAACCTTAATAGGAAATAGCTTAATAGTATGTTTTTAAGGATTATCACCTTTCATGGATTAAGAGACTTATATCTAGCATCACATTCTCCTAACTTTACATTAAATAAAAAACCAAAACACGTGAAAAATGTTTGCAGTGTTTTTATCATGTTTTGTCCATGGATGGAAAAAGTGCACTTTTGCACAACCATGGCACTAGGATCAGGTTGTAGGAAGAATAGAACTGCAAATCATTAGAATGCTAAGTCAGACATACAGTGCCAAGAGAAATATATAAAGTTTTTGTATACCTCATCCTCAGCATAACCAAGAGCTTCTAATTCAGCTAAAAGTTCACGTGACTTCTCAAAAAGACCACCTCTAGTATAAACCTTTAATAAAGTCGTCAAAATAACCTGCACAGAAGTGTGAACACATCTTTAGAAAGAGAACAACTAATTTGATAAATATATCCTCGGATCTTAAAGAAAGAAAAAATAACGTTATAATTTACATCTTTGGAGCATAACAAGAAACCGTGCGTTTTACAGCCTACATAAGCTTCCTATCAATGAAACGCTTATGACCTTTAAACCACATTTTTAAAATCTTGCAAATCAGATTGGTTTTATCCAAACCATTGCGAAACCATGCTAAGAAATGGAATTTCAACTCTCTGCTAAAACAAGGTAGTTTTGAACAATTCTAACTAAAGGTAAAAATTTTCATCAATATTGGTCACTTGCACATGTGTGAATCACCACAGTCGATGGTCATTGCTTGCGAACTTATCTGTGTGCAATTGAATAGACATGCTTGTGACCATGGGCATACGATATTACTATTAAAATCATATAGAAATCATAATGAGTTATTTTTCTGCTATTTATGATATATTAGGAGATAAAGTGACTGAAATTACTTCCAAATTATCCCTTCTTTATTAGAATCTATGAATAACAACTAAGTAACGACATCATGTTTTACTTTGTTTAATTGACCCTTATAAACAGTCAACTCGAATAAAAATTACATGCTATCCCACATGCTTTTTGGTGATTTCTAATTCGAATGGGCATCAAGGTGAACTCGTTATTCATGAAGCATTCAAGGAAAACAAAGCATGGCTTTGAAGAAAAATATATAAAGGTGGTACTAACGAGTAACAAGAAAGGGATAGGATAAGAAAGAAGAGAGAGTAAAGGAGAAGAATATGTGGACATCAAATCATACTCCGTCTTTTCTTCCTATCTCTATCTCTTATTGCATAACAAAATCTAATACGTGAAATACCTATAGAGTATTTACTATGGCTTTAAGGAAAAGCTCTTAGCAGCAACCACATCTTAGAAGATCGAGCTCTAAACAGCATGTTCAACCAAGAAGTGTGAGCCTCAGCAACAGAATCACCAAGAAAAGAGCTTCAGCATCCATATCAAATCAAAACTCAAAGGGCCCACTCACATTACTAAACAAACCAAATACTTTGCCCTATGCAAGAAATACTAAAAATAGCAACAATTGCATCCAGACAATCCTAAGAACCTTGTTTTTAACTAAGGCACAATCGGTTGTTTTTCAAAATAGCTTTTCATCGAGCGACCTTTTCATTGTTTTTCACAATAGAAACAATTGCTTGTGACCTTTTCATTGTTTTTCAAAATTTCTACGGTGAGAAGCTACTTTTTGCAAACAGATCTAAGAGTGTGCGGGAGATATAAGAAATATGTTGCCTGAATTTTTCAAAGAAAACATATTTAAAAATTATTTTCCCCACAATAGATTCACAATCGCCTTTATAAATAGCTATAACTGCCCCAAACAGAACTTAAATCACTAGAGAAAGAAGAATACTTCAAAGAAATAATGGCAATTGATTGGAGCCCTAAAAATTCTTAAGGACAACAAGAAGCACGACCGGGGGTGAGGCACATTGGCAATATGGGGAGATAAGGAATGGTAGCTTTTCATCGAGAGATAGGTGGCTTCACGTCCATCATGTGATTTAAAAGAAAGAAGCATATTCAAAAGATATGTTAGCAGAAACACCATTTTCAAAATTACAACTTAAATTCAAATTAATTACCAAAGTGTTGGCTGGATAAAGTAATAAGCACTTTTAAAATAGTTGTATAGATTTAATGTGTTGCATAAGATTCATTTGAAGATTGAAATATACCTGAAGTTGAATGGTAAACTTGAGGACAAAACTATTGCCATTGAGACTCCAGAGAGGAGTTCTAAGTCAAGTTTTAAAACTTTACGTTTAAACCATGAAACTAAATATAAATTTAATTATTATCAATACACAGAAATAATTCATAAAAGGCATCAAAATGTTTTTTCATATGCAAAAAAAAAAAAACTAATGCACCATAAGTTGAAGGATTTTCTTCATAATCATGAGGCTATAATGAACAATTACATAACAACAGCAAAACTCGAGAATCTGCAAAAAGAAAAATTACCTTATTTGGCACAATTCCTGAAGATTTCATATTCCTTATCAATTGTTCAGCCTTCACATAATCTCTGCTTACAGAATAAGCATTTAGCAAAGAACTGTAATGGAATATGTTAGGAGCACAGCATTCAACATTCATCTGCTTAAAATATTCCTCTGCTTCTTTACAAAGATTATTTGAAGCACAAATTGCTATAAGGCTGCCATAGATTACAGCATCCTTGTTAAAGCCGCTGCTCTCAAGCTCATGGACTAATTGTATTGCTTTTGCATATCCATCTGCCTCTTTGCCACAACCTGCCAACAGCTAAGGAAGCAAGACAAATAGACACTCAGCGTGCAGTATATTACAGAAATCAATTCGCATCCCAACAGAAGCTTAAAGATTGCAAACTCCGAGTTGCTAGCATCTGCTAATAAAGAAAGAAAATCAGTCTAATACCGTACTATATGTGACCAAGTCAGGCAATAAACCATCATCCTTCATCTTACAGAACAACTTCATACTGCTTTTAAATCTTCCATTTTGTACCATACAGCCAAGAATAGAGTTGCAAATGGACAGGTTTACTCTTGTTGACTTATCTGTAATACTATCATAAACTTGAAGAGCTTTCATAGGATTACGGCTTATTCGCATGTATTTGATAAAACTGCTATAAGATGCAAAGTTAAGCATCTCAGCCTTTTGCATCCAATCAAAAAGCTGCAAATATGGAGGATATCACTAAATCAACAAAAATAGCAAAAGAGATGGCACAGAAATCAGGAACTTTCAAACTTAAAGTACTTGCTGAGAGTTCTATAAATGTTTATTCATGTTCTACAGGAGGAAAAGACGTTAGCAAATGAGTTTATAGACTTAATTAAGTTCATCAAATCTAGAACTCAGGTTCCTTTAAATTTTCTCCTTCAGAAAAGAAAAATAAAACATTTTTCTTGGCTCATAGATATATCTGAATCTCAAATAGGAAACTCATTTATGGAACTTACTTTATCTTCATAAGCTTTTGAAAAAACATGCAGCAGAAAAAGAATGGACCGTTTACAAAAAGTGTAATCAGTAAAAATGGATGATGACAAATGCTAAGTTCAGTATAATATCGAATCTAGAAATTGCAAAGAAAATAAGTACATCTGAATTAAGATAATGAATGTAGAAACGTGTGAAAGGCCGGAATATATTCAGCGACTTCATAGAATATGACAAATATTTAAAAGATGTGACAGGGATATGACTGGGATACAATAAAGATGAATGCAACTGTAGATGTACATAAGCATGCATTAGGTGTCAAAAAAAAAACAATTCATTGTCAAAGGAGGTGAAGAATTTTTCGGTCAAGCGCTCACCTACAAGTGAGAGGCATAAAGTTCATTTCTGAATACCTTCAACTAGATTATAAAATGTTAAAGGGTAATATCACAAAATACATATCATAATTATTTTGAGCATGTTAAAGCAACAAAATAACCGATGCCAAATCATGAAAAACCTGCTAAGTTAACCATCTTTGAAGATGTCGGAAATGAGAACCATAAAAAGGATGCTAGAATTTCCTCGGTCAAGGTACAAACAAAATAAAAGCAATGGCAGAGAGCATTAAACTAAATCTGTCCCTTCATTAGTTTGCAGTGCTAAGCTCTGAGCTTATGCTACCTTTATTCATTATCAAAATCTGAATCACATTAACAAGCAGTTGCTTCCTGCAATACGACTACAAGCATGTTTACTACTACAATGTCTATGCTTGCATATTAAAGAAATGAGGGCTGGCTCTCCACCATTGATCAGAAAGCGTGAATTGCAATGGTTCAAGATCTCATGCCGCCATCATAAATATGCATACAGAATGAATCCACATTCTACTTTTCTTTCCCAAATTCAGGTATAGCAAAAAAAAAAAAAAGCCAATATGTATGGGCAACAAATCCAAAAGTTTCTGATAGACCGGTCTGTGAAAACCTGAAAAAATTGTCGTTTTAGACCTCGCACGCTTTTCAAAGCGACTCGACAAGTTTTAAGTGAAAATTTCAAGTTTGTCGGATTTCGATGGGTATAATTTTAGAAAATCCTACGCAAAATTCTGATCGTTTTGATGTATAGGACTTATAGAAAATTTGGAGTATTTTAAGTGATAAAATTTTTGGAAATTTCTAAATACCCATTTTACCCCTAATATTTCTTTATGCTGGAATTGTTTAAGTACGGGCATGTATGTCTTTTGGCTTTCCCCCATCTTCCTAATATGAGCCAACCGAGCCCTCATTTCTCCCCCATTCGCACGGTTTGAGCAAAAGGGAGCGGCGGCATAGGCGACGCGGCAAGGGCAACGGGTTCCTCTCCGGCGACAATCTTCCGGCTAGAAATATAGTCCAAATCGAAGAGGAGATCAAGGGAAGTAGAAGGTATGTTTTAGATTTTCATTTCTCCTTCTAAATCTCAAGTTATTTGAGAATGAAATTTCTAGGGTTTTATAGGATTTTGGTTTTCTTTCGTATTTTCTTTACGAAAACTTTAAGGAAAGATTAGATGAATGTTTTAGCAATGAAAATGAAAAATTTTGAGGAAATTTTGGAGATAGAAATTCTAGGGTTTTTCCTTAAAAACGTATTTCTTCCAAAATCTCTTTAAGGAATGGTTAGGTAATGTTTAGAAGAGCATTTTAATGATAGAAATGAAATTTTGGAGGAATTTTATGAGATTTAAAAATTTGGGTTTTAGGTAAATCCGAAAATAGAATTATTTTAAATTAATTTAGATGATGGAGAAAGTGTTATTTTGATTAATATTAATTAATTAGATAAAATTATGAATTTTTAGATTATGATATGCTTTATGTGATCTTTTGAAGAGAGAGGGAGAGGAAGAACTTAAGTTAGATTTTTAATAAAAGGGGCCGGAATATATTCAGCGACTTCATAGAATATGACAAATATTTAAAAGATGTGACAGGGATATGACTGGGATACAATAAAGATGAATGCAACTGTAGATGTACATAAGCATGCATTAGGTGTCAAAAAAAAAAAAACAATTCATTGTCAAAGGAGGTGAAGAATTTTTCGGTAAAGCGCTAACCTACAAGTGAGAGGCATAAAGTTCATTTCTGAATACCTTCAACTAGATTATAAAATGTTAAAGGGTAATATCACAAAATACATATCATAATTATTTTGAGCATGTTAAAGCAACAAAATAACCGATGCCAAATCATGAAAAACCTGCTAAGTTAACCATCTTTGAAGATGTCGGAAATGAGAACCATAAAAAGGATGCTAGAATTTCCTCGGTCAAGGTACAAACAAAATAAAAGCAATGGCAGAGAGCATTAAACTAAATCTGTCCCTTCATTAGTTTGCAGTGCTACGCTCTGAGCTTATGCTACCTTTATTCATTATCAAAATCTGAATCACATTAACAAGCAGTTGCTTCCTGCAATCCGACTACAAGCATGTTTACTACTACAATGTCTATGATTGCATATTAAAGAAATGAGGGTTGGCTCTCCACCATTGATCAGAAAGCGTGAATTGCAATGGTTCAAGATCTCATGCGGCCATCATAAATATGCATACAGAGAATGAATCCACATTCTACTTTTCTTTCCCAAATTCAGGTATAGCAAAAAAAAAAAAAAACCCAATATGTATGGGCAACAAATCCAGAAGTTTCTGATAGACCGGTCCAGCCAGTCCACACGGGACCGGCCCAGCGCAACAGAGGCGGAACTTCTCCGCCTCCTGCGCATGTCGCGGATGCTGCGAGATCCATGGGAGCTTTTTTGGAAGTTTTTTGGGAGGGAAATTTGATTGTAGGGACTGTTTAGGGATTTCTTTTTGATTTGTATGCCTTAAATAGTTTGTTTTCGTAGGGATAGGGCATCTTGAATTTGACTGAAATTTGAGATCTCCTAGATTTAGGTTTTCTTTTGGCTCTAGCGGCGTCTAGAGATTTGGGAGAGATCAATCCTCCTCTCGAATTGAGCATCGATTGTATCTTGATATCCTTTGTTTATCTTTCATCAAATAATACAATGTATCTACTGTTTTCGTAGTTTTGTGCGAATTTTTGTGAAGAATTTTCGTAGTTTTCCGAAGATTGATAGGAAATACTTGAGATATACAAGTGTGTCCTATCAAATTGGTATCAGAGCAAGTCTTGGGACCGTTCGTGACATGATTTTGGCAAATTTTAGCAGCTGGTTTTTGGCCGGGATTTCGAAGAAAAAAGTTGCTATTTTTGAAGGTCGAAGTCTAGATTTTTATTTCTACAAAAATCTAGTGATGAATGGCAACCAAGAAAATAGATGCGTTGGAGGACCACCTCGAAGTGGAGATTGGACAAATGAAATGTGAAATTTCATATCTCCAAACTCAAGTTTCAGATTTAAAAAGGGATGTTTTAGCCATCCATGATAAGTTCGATTCAAAATTTTCCATCCTAGAGGAGATGTTAAAGAAAGTTCTCGATTACCAAACCAGAATATCATCATCGGAGGTGAGGGAAGGCGCCGACAGCCACGGAAGTGGGGAAAATCCGAAGCCAACCAGACAAAAGGAAAATCAAGAGGTTCAGATTTTGGAGGGAACAAAAAAAATGCCTCCCTATGACCTATTCCTAGGGAGGAGTCCGGTAGAGGGTATGTGGAGGGATGTGAGTGGATTGGGCAAGAGTGGAGAGATGTTGAATTTGAAAGAAGAGGGGCTGAATTGGAAAGACAAGGACTTGATTTTGATCAAAGAGGTGCTGAACTTGAAAGGGAAAGGGGTAATTATGTCCAAAAGGGGACTGCATCTGAAATGGGAGAGGTTTATTATGATAAAAGAGGTGCTGAATTTGAAAGGAGAAGGTGAAAATTTGATGAAAGTCTTGGGTATGAACGTAGAAGGGATGATTGTGATACTTAAGGGGAACCACCCCCTTGGGGAGAAAAAAATTATGAAGGGAATAAAGGGAACATATGTGATCTGAGGGTGAGGAAGCTGAAGATGCCTATTTTCAATGGAGAGGATGCCCATAGATGGATCTACCAACAGGATGACGGAGGGGGAGAGACTGATGGCAGGCTGAATGTGCTTGGAAGGGAAAGCTTTAGCATGGTACTAGTGGAGGAATACGAGGCGACCAATAAGGACCTGGAGGGAGTTTAAGGACTGCCTGTTTGAACGTTTCCAAACCAGCTGAGGAGGGGACTTCTACGAGCAGTTCTTCGCTTTGATGCAGGAGGGGACAGTGATGGAGTATCGTGACCAATTTGAGTACCTCGCCAGTCGATTGGATAGGCTTCCAGAGTCTGTACTGGAGGGGAACTTTATGAAGGGACTGAAACCAAAGATCTGCACAGCAGTCAGAGTGATGAGACCTCGGGACTTGGGAGAGTCTATGGAACTAGCATAGTTGGAGGAGGATCAGAGGCACCTAAAAAAAGAGCAGGAGGCAGCTAGGGGTGTCAATATTTGACACGACCCGAAAACCAGACTCAAAGCTGACCCAAAAATTCCGGGTTAAGGTCAACCCAGACCCAAAACGGGTTTGGTTCGGGTTCAACAATTTGACCTGTTTCAAAAATTGGGCCGGATTCGGGTTGACCCTTTGACCCGAAATTGACCCAAAAATCCATTTTTTGACCCAAAAACCCGAGATTGACCCGTTCTCGACCAGTTTTTGACCCGAAAAGTTAAGATTGAACTGTTTTTTTGACTCAAAAACTAATAATGTTTTCATGGTCCCGAGTTATTCGGGTCGTGTCGGGTTGACGCAGACCCGAAGCGGGTCATGTTCGAGTGTGAAAAACTGACCCGTTTTTACAAACGGGTCAGGTTCGGGTTGACCCGAATAATGCCGGGTCATTTGCGGGTTCGACCCGAATTTGACCCATGACCGGAAATTGACACCCCCCCTTGAGATAGCAGTTTCGGAGGCTCGTACGGAATGACCACCACCTTTTTGGCACCCAAGGAACCAACACCGGGTACTCTTAGGGAGACTTTGAAGGAGAAGACTGCCAAAGGAAGACTTGGAGATAACTTCAAGAAGCTCACAGAAGCAGAATTACAGGAGAAGAGAGCGAAGGGGATCTGTTTCAGAGGTGATGAGAGGTATACACCGGGGCATAGGTGTAAGGACTGAACTCTTCAGGTTCTTACCATTTGTGAGAAAGGAATGGGGAGGGTGTCATCTTTCCACCTTACAAATAAGGTGGATCTTTGGGATGGAAGTATTGTTAGACCGGTCCAGCCGGTCCACAATAGAGGCTGAACTTCTCCGCCTCATGCGCATGTCGCGGATGCTGCAAGATCCAAGGGAGCTTTTTTGGAAGGTTTTTTAAGGGAATAGGGAGGGAAATTTGAATGTAGGGATAATTTAGGGATTTCCTTTTGATTTGTATGCATTAAATAGGTTGTTTTACTAGGATTAGGGCATCTTGAATTTGGCTAAAATTTGAGGTCTCCTAGATTTAGGTTTTCTTTGGGCTCTAGAGGTGTCTAGAGAATTGAGAGAGATTGATCCTCCTCTAGAATAGAGGATCAATTGTATCTTGCTATTTTTCGTTTCTCTTTCATCAAATAATACAAATTATCTATTGTTTTTGCGGTTTTGTGCGGATTTTTGTGAAGAATTCTCATTGTTTTCTGAAGATTGATAGGAAATACTTGAGATCTACAAGTGCGCCCTATCAGTTTTCTTAGTACATAGAGGAAAAAATGCATTGGCCCCTAGATATTGTCCATGTTCCCTAGCATGAACAAATTTGAGATGGACAATTGTGAAAAAAAGAAGAAAAAATTTTATCTATTATTTACGCCATTGAAAGATTAGTGCACCCCTATCCGTTAGCATTTTTCTTTCTCCAAAATATCAAGGGGAATATGACATTACGATGGAGCTACAAAGCAAAATATTTTAGTAACTAAGATTTTACATGTATACTATTGTGGTAGCATTTAAAGCACTATTTGCACATCAATAGGTGTATACATTTATGTATCTTTATCAAGTTCAGGAACTTAATGTAAATACGAGCTGATGACAAGCTACAGCTAATGTATGTATATTACAGCAATCAGCCATCACAATTTGCGTTTAGCATGAAAATTCAATTGAGTTGTGCATTGTTTAACATCTATAAAGGGTAGCAAATATCTACACATGAGGATAATGAATCGTCCATATGATGAATTGGAAGGCATTAATTGGAAGTTAGGATGGGAGGATAAATGGCAACCACCTTTAAAGAGGAAAAAAACTCTATCAAACAAACGTAATATATTTTTCCTAAACCAAAAACAAATCATGGGCTAGTTGATAGTCAAATGATGGCAATCACACACAAACAAAGAAAAAAAAAACGCTCCACTGCCTGAAGTATAAAATTTAAACAAAACAACACTACTTTTGAGACCATATATGCATACTTTATTCGTAACCAATCAAATTGCATTCACTTGTTTCCCTAAAGGATTCAGTAGTCTAAATATTTTCTTTTGAGAGTAAGAACTATCTTGCGCAATTTATTGAGGTGGCAAAATTAATCTGATCAGATTTATTTCTTTAACAACTACTTCGACCAAACACAGCCATAACTATGGGATTAATGGTCACGCTTAATGAGAGCGAATTTTCAGTACCCTCCATAAAAAGCAAGGTTGACGTAAAACACAGGAAAAATATCTGAACATCTGATGACATGGTAGTTGGTAAAGCATAACAATAATAATGGTGAAACAAACATTTAAGTATCGCATGAATGCATGATCAAGTTTGCCGTATTTATGCCAAAAAGGGATCTCTCCACCAACCTGATTAACTTCTATCCACCTTCGTAACTCCCCAAAATATCGCAAAATGATGTTTAAATCCTGAACTCGCAGTATTTCCTTCACCCTGTTTATATATAAAACAAATGAGAATAATGTTCCTTACTTTAAATATATAAATGTCTGGCAAAAAAACATACTTCAATTTTACCCTGTTATGCTACTAAATCCGTGATTCTTAATGGAAGTTTTACGTGATTGGAAAAGCAGAAGTCAGAGTGGAAAAGGAGAAGTTGTTTGCTCATTGAAAGCACAACCAATAACAAAATCAAACACGAGGTTTAGAACTTTCTACTAGGGTTTCATCTGAGTTTGACACACATTTGCCTTCAAGATACACAATTCATCAGGGATAGGCATTTCCTGATCGTTAAATTTCAATTGTTCCTAATGGCTCATTTGGTTGTTGCAGATAACAAAAATATTTTAAAAAATTATGTCTTTTCTTTCAGCCAAATATAGCGTGAGGATAAATTTTATAGCTTATAGATCTGCTTTAAGAGAGAGATAATATAAATAATTAATGTTATACTCTTTTCAAAATACAGCTAAAGACATTGAGATCCATCATCATTTTTAGTCAAAATAACTTCATATCAAAAAATTTCAACATGTAATTAACATTATTGAATTATTTAAAAGTTTGTAAACTATTAAACTAATATTAATTTCTAATTACATCCAATCAAGTAGTGGCTAAATCTAATAAATTTACATATTTAAACCTAAACCTTTATATTTCAGCGTTTTGAAGACTTTTTTTTCCGAATTAAACGAATCAAATGAGCCCTATGCATCAATGCGATATAAGAAACTGCTTTGTTCCTCGGAGTAACGAATCAAATGAGCCCTATGTATCAATGTGATAAAAGAAACTGCTTTGTAAACCTAGAGAGAGTAGCTTCCAAGTCTGCAGATTCCTTCAATTCGGCGACGGCCGCTTGTCTTGCAGTGAAGGTACTAACAGGAGAAACCTCGCCAAATGAAGAAGATAAAACGGTTGTTCCCCCCAGGATTTTTGAGACGTGAAGATCCAATCGGTGGTTACTCTTTCGTTGAGTGGAACAGGGAAGCCAAGGGCATGGAAGAGGGAGTTGACTGCCAGCTGGTACACCGCCAGCGGCAGATGGCGGCGGGAATGAACTGAACGGTAACGATAGCATTCTCGCATGCCTCGGATTGCCGGTCACCCTTCGAACAAACTGCTTCCGATTAGGCGCCGCCCTCCACCGGTTGAGAATGTAGACGTTATTCCCAGGTAATCTTTCGAAATGTTTACTTAGAGGTTGTAAGTGAGCCAAGCGGCAGCAGGTTTTTTTTGGGAAATTTTGGGGCTTACGCCCATTCATTAATAGAGAAAAAAATTACAGTAAAGGACCCAGCTCCAAGCAAAAAGCATGAGTGGGGAACAAAAATTACAAGTAATGCTCTGTAAAGAGAAACCTATACCACCCCCAAAAAATGAAACCAAAAAGTGTGGTAATTCAAAAAATCAGGACTCAGAAATTGCTGCAGCCAAAAGAGGCAGCCCGAAATCATAAGAATCAAAAAAGGCTCCTGGTTGCCTAAACAATATACCCTCCAAGGAGCTAAGCTGCAGCGGTCATCATTGTCCTGCACTCATGCGGCAGCAGGTTCGAATTGGGCTTTTTTAATCGAGGTATAGGGTGCTTTTGGGACGGCGGTACTGCTGCTTTATTTTATAAAAAGTCATTAAATTATTGTTTGGGACATTGCGGCAGAACCACGGCAGAAAAAATTCTGCGGTCCGCTGTTGCTTCCCACGACCATTCCCTTATCCCGCGGTCCGCTGCTTTCGGCAGAAAAATGACGAAAATCCCGCGGCAAATATCGCTACCGTCGTCGCCGCGCTGCTCTCTGCTTTTCCACTATCCATCATTCGACTTGAAAGTTTGCCATCATAGCAAATGACAACAAATCTCAAGACCATCAGTCTGTGGCAGACTGCGTTCAAAAAACATGGAAAGTGGGTGGGTATAGGTGGGTACGAAATCCCGGAAGTCACCATGGGTGGGTGTGGGTAGGCGAAGCCCGTCCGAGTAAAACATGGGTACACAATGGGTACCCAAACAGGACCTCATGTAGGGCTTTGTAAGTGAGCCAAGCCGCAGCAGGTTCGAATTGGGCTTTTTTTAATCGAGCTCTAGTAAAGATTACAATTATAATGAGCTTGGTTAAGTTGGTTTGTGAACCCGAACTAGATAATCGAGCATGCAAACTCTAACAGTAGCTCTCCTCCCCTGGCGGTACCAAAGTTCCTCATCACTTTATCCATATTCTTATTACCCCTGTCACTGATATTGAAATTAAAAAAAAATGATATTCTCCTATTCAAAATCTTGTTCTCTTTATCCAGATGGATTTTTGCCTTCTATGTTTCTAATTTGGTAACTATTAGTAACCATATTTGTAAGTGAAAAGTACACTCTTTTTCTCTATCTCTGAGAAAACAGTGTACCACCAATACTTATAGTAAAACTACTGAAAGCAGTGAAAGTTCGAGATGGTTGTTAAACCTTACAGAACTAGCCCAATGGGCACCAAGAGGGGGGTGAATTGATAAAAATCCCTAAGTAGGAATATTACTTTTTTTTTAGCCACAAAACAACTTAAAAACTTGATTGAGATACATTACTCAAAATAACATGCGGAAGCAATTTATATAAAAGTTTTCATTTTTCCTTTTTTTTATTTTTTTAACACATGGAAATATTCTTGTAGCAAAAAGTTTTAAATTAAGTGCAGTAGATTGATAAGATTGAAACTAATAATCTCAACTTACAAACAAAGAAAATTGCATGAAAATAAAAATATGAAAATGGAAAAAACACACCATAAATTGTATAATGGTTTGGTCAACCTTGACATACGTCCACTACCCAAGGTCTTTCGCTCTGACTATTACACTAACACAAAGTGACTCTCCTTTTGTTCTCACAGTAAGGTGGAGAAGCCCTTACAAACTCACTTTTCATCAAACCTGATGCGGTAGAGTGCTAGAAGCTACGTCACATTCCTCAGTAACGGCAGCAAACCTTGAATATCGTTTTGCTCTTTCTTGGAGAAAGTAGAGAACCCAAAGCTTTTTCTTTCTCCTGGAGAAGGCAGCGCACCTCCATTCTTTTTCTCCCTCCTAGAGAAAGCAGAGTACCTCGAGGACTTGACTTCGAAGCCTCTCTCCCAAGAGAGCCTTCAAGGACTTACCAAGATCACAAGAGGAGCAAGGGTGTAGCTATCCCAAAGCAACTGTGTGGTCCCCTCACACTTCTTCTCCTTCCTAATCAACCTCAGATTCTCCTTCCTCTCATACTTTGATTTTCCCTCAAAAGCACCTCTCTTAGAGTTCCTTCAGTAGTCACACAATCCTCTCTCTATTTTTAAGAGATTCTAAAACTATTGCTTAAGTATTAGGCTTCAAGAAATTCTAAAAATTAAAGTTGGTCGTCATTATTTATATAGTACAATTCGAATTCATATATTACAATCAGTTTAAAAATTAGACCCGTTCAGTGATATAAACAGTCACTCAGACGAACTGCTCAATTTTTCGAACACATTATACAATACTATCCAAATATCATCTAGTACGACTTGTATGCTTTCTCTCTATTCATATAGGATGATTTTAGGGACGATTAGAAATCATCTCTATTAATCATATTGTATTGCTCTCATCGTACAATATAGTTAGTTGATTTCAAGTTAGTTTTCCAATACGATATGAATATCATACAGTACGATTAGTTCAAAAATCATAGTTTCATTTGGTACGATCTTTGGGATGACCAAATTTTGTCTCTACCAATTGTATGATATGATCAAGTTAGTGCAATATGATCTATTATCATTAATTAAATCATGATTTTATTAACTAATTATGGGGTTAATTTAAGATTTTAAATTATTGTGCAGTACGAGAACATCGTACAGTACGATTGGTTCAAAATTCAAATTTTGAATATCTTACTTAGTTTATTTGGTGATTAGGGTTTTCAAATCTTAACAAATTATATAATACGATATATAACGTACAGTATGATTAGTTCACAAAAACTGATTGGTCAACTAGTCGTTAAACTCATTCTCTCTATAACTGATCATATAGTGTGATTATAAGTCATACAGTATGATTAATAAAAAAAATTAACTTAAAATTTTTCTCACTCCCTCTGTGTGTTCGTGCACTGTCACCCAATTACATACACTCTTATATGGTCAGACTTAAGAAATGAAAATTAAAGAAAATAAAAGTACATACTCTTTTACTTGACATCTTATTCTACCAAGTCTTAAACTTTCAATAGGCTTGAGTAGTATATATTTTACCTAAAATGTTAGTACTCATAGATAAAAGGAATATCCAAAATATTCACTGAGAAAAATAACAATTCAAATAATAATATTTGTCATCATTAAAATCATAGATTAGGGATCTTTGATTGCAATAATCTTCACCTTTTTAATAATGGCAAATAATGTTGGTTGAGAGGTAAAATATCTTTTTTTTCTCCTAAGCTCCGCTCACTAGTTGATAGATTTA